CAGAAAACCACCTATAAAATTCAGGTTGAAAGGACAAGCTTGATTACCCTAAAAAATTTATTAAAATACGATGGTAGAAAACAATACACAACGTTTCGGGATCTGGAATCTGATCCCGTCCTCAGGTGAAAAAACTTAACTAACATATTACAACTTTCAATACACAAACGCCCAACCTAAGTTTATTCGAACGATTTCGGTAACCAGCATGATTGGACTATGGGAATGCGGGGTTATGGTGGGTTTTATAGGGTAAAAATTGGTTTTTCCCATTTTTATCCCAAAAAACATAAATTTTTTCAATTTCCTTCCAAACAATTTTTTAGTGCTAAAAAAATCAAATAATTTAGTATGTTGAAGCCATATTTTGATCAAATCTAGAAAATGCTTTTATTTCATACTAAACTAGTAACATTTTACAAAAAAAAAAAAACATTTACCCTACCTTTTGCAGCATTCCTAAGTACTCGTTAAACTAATGCTATTTAAATAGGGAATAAATATGATATTTTTAAGGAGATATTTAAGTTTAAATCCAGTCTGGTAAATGGAAATTGGTTTAGTCTGCAGGTTTGCTGTGGCAGGGGTATTAAAGTTATATCACATCCCAGTGGCTGTGGACATTAAATAATTGCTATGGTTTTCTCACCAAGATAGGAATAGTATAATATAATTCAAATACTAATTAAAATGATAATTTAATAACCATAATTAAAAGGATAATCTAATAACCGTAATTAAAATGATAATTTAATAACCATAATTAAAATGATAATTTAACAATCGTAATTAAAATGACAATTTAATAATCATAATAAAAATCATAATTTTTATTATGATTTAACTAGAGTTTTCGACTTCTTCCTTTGTAATGTAATAAATACATTTCAAAAGTCACTGTTTATTTGTAACCAGACACCTATATTTTTAGATTTACTTTAGAGTTTGTAATGGAAGGGTTCCAGGAAAACTTCTCTATACAGTGTGTGTTCATGTTACCAACTGTAGTCCTGTGCAGACATGCTTTTATTCGTAGAATAAACACTAATTAATGTTTGACAGATTTCATTAAATCCCTCCACAGAGATCGCTTGCTACAGTAATGGTTTTGACAAATACGTCACAAACTTTAAGCTACATATTGAGTTTTCTAGGTAAGGTAAACGAGTAAACGCAAGGTCTGACAAAGTTGCCGACAACCTTATAATGATCTATTAAATTATGGTGAAATGTCATTTTCTCGGCTTTGTATAATCTTGAAATATATGTGGGGAGATATCCTGAGCTTCCATGTTTTCACCACTTATTGCATGAGATGTTGTGTTATTAGCAAAGTAGTTATTTGTGATCTGTATGTATCGATAATAATATTTATGTATACAGTAACAGTAACTAGATGACTAAATCATAACCAATAATTTTACTCTGTTTCAAGGAATGTCTCATTTCATAAATGGTTTGGTCAGTTTTAGTTTCGTTTTTAGTTTTAGGTATATTTTTATGCTTAATTGATTACAACACAAGGTAAGTTCTTAAAAATGAGAACAAAATAAAAATGTTTCCTTGAAGTTAACATAGCAGTGTTATTGCAAGCAAATTTAAATAATCTTCGAACCTATCAAATAATAAGAATGAAATTCATATATGCTGGACCATAAAGTATACATTTAAATAGTAGCAACATTTATAATTGCACTATACCCAACGCGTTTCTGCAACTTCAGCATAATCGTATAAACTTCAACTTCAATCAACTATTGCAATTTCAGCAGCCACGTGCTGAACCAGGATTCTGAGCGGTCTAGTGTCGCTGTTTCAACCGGAATATAATTTAGTAAGTTCTTTAAACCTGTGTATCATAAATCTGTGAATTAAATATAAATGGATGTAAAACAAATGTAAATGTAAAATAAATGGATGTAAAACAAATGTAAATGTAAAATAAATGGATGTATACATGTTTGATATCCGATTTTGGTCATACAATTTTATTACTGTGTGACAATGGTATGGAAGGTAAAAAAATGCTAAAATAAAACAACACTGTTTCAAGTAGTTTCTGATAATAATTCGTTAGCTTAAGGCTTTTAACCAATGCCGCAGATTAAGCAAATTTCCATTTGTCTGATTAAGATATTTCCAAAAAAATCATGTTTATTCCCTACTTGAATAACATTAGATTTAGGCATAACGAGTACTTACGTTTGCTGCAACTGGGAAGGGAAAAGAAACTGATAAAATGATAAAACATCATTTACACAGTACAGTATTTAAATCACCTAATATTTAATTTAATTTTTAAAGTAATAAAACATCCCAACACTTTTGGGGTCACAGCGAATAAACGTTCGAATAACAGAAAACAATATGGGAAAAGCTATTTGATAAGCACTTTTATATCATACGTATTTTATGAACGAAACTTAATCCTTTTAATTGACCTAAATCCTATAACCCGTGTTATACCATTCTAAATGCGTAATATTACTCCAAATAACATTATGTTATAACGACAGTGTTTAGATTTGACCCATATATAATCCTAAAGTAGCCTTATAATTATATGATTACAGTAATTAAATATTTCGCGGGAGCGTGAGAGGAGAAATTATGAAAATTACTACTTTGCCTATACTTCTCCACTGCCTTTGCATGAGTTTAAGTAAAGTGCTTAAAATGTTATAATTTCTTAACAGTTTGGAAACTGTTACTGTTTTGGAACTGTTACATCATTTCCACACAACATGTATACTAAACATCTATTTATTCCCATAAACGTAACATTGTAAAACATGCTGCAACTGAATTTACAGTGATGCAAATCAGACACAATATTTATACTTATAGCTTCAATGTAAAGCTTTAAAATGTAGGATTGACCATGCAAACTAACAGGTTAAAAGATATGTCAAGCTAACTCTAAACAAAGGGTAGTTAATCTTCCTCAAACGTTAACTCCACTCGGCATCTGTCTGAATGCCCAACGTTTGTTTCTATTTTCTTTGAAATTCATACTTTTAGTTTAGGTTTTTACAGTCATTAAGGTCCCACGCCTTGTTAATCAATTAAAGCTAGGCAATTACAAGAGTAAAAAGTAGAGGAAAACAATAATGACGTTGCAGTACCTTACATAAACACGGCTCATATCGGTAACGTACCTTTCTCAACTTCAAATTTTTTATACGATACAATATTCTTTCGAATGTTGGACGGTTATCTTATGCACCATGCATAGGATACATATGGTGTTCTTTCTGGAAATTATTTAGAAGTTACCTTACTGCTTTTTGATTACACATCTACAGACCAAGGGTTTTCTTTAGATATCCCTCCCAAGTTTCAACGACCAGCTGTTCTCTCAATTTATCGGATACAGACAAAAACCACTTTCAAATTTATAATCCATAGATTATGAAGGGCATTTCAAGGTACGAATATTAATTCAAGAACAAAATGCAATTATTTTAATCCTACATTTTATTTCTTACTGTTTTACTTACTAGAGTTTACCAACATTATTAAGATGTATAGCAAAAAACACAAAGCATGTAATTTAAAGACAATAATATTACTATACAGTTTTGTGAAATATAAATACACAGCAAAAAGTGTAAAACGATTCATTACATATCATGGTTTCTTAATCTAAAAAACAATGAAGAAAATGTGAAACATTACACGAAGGTTATTCTTATAATGTAAACTTATATGGAATTATAGTCAATACCAAGATTTGCTGCGTATTAACTTGTTATACTAGCCTATGAAAATAATATAAAGTATTTTATAATTTTTTTGGTATGATAAAATGTATTAGAGTAATGGAGTATAACATTGTGTACAAATAATTGTGATTTAAAGTACAGTTTCATGATAATCTAACTAGTATTAATTTTAAACAATGCAGCAGTATGAAAAGGAATAATTTACTGGAAATAGTTTAGTGGTCTTCATTCTATTTATGAAATATGAAAACAACGATTGCGGACAAATATAAAACATGTTCATTGTTATAAAAAATTGGGATATTATGACTTCTGAAAACTACGATCCTTCCTATCATTTGTTCAGGATATTTAGGCGATGTTAAAACCTTTTTCAACCTTCATACTAAAAAAAAAATATGTAGATTGAAAGTAAAGAGTGACTAATTAGATGTGTGCGAATACAATTCTTATATTAGTATTTGATTGCCATACATGTACATGTCCTGAACTAATTTTAATAGGTAATTTTCAGTTCAACAGGAAGTTTATAGTTTCCTGGTAGGTTTAGTTGAGCTTGTAAGATTTACGTGGCAAGTTTCCTTCCTCTCATATTCTGTAATATATCGAACCAAGAGAAGGAACTGCTTAGCTTGAAATTATGAGCTCGAAATAAAAATATTCTTTCTTGAGAAACCTACATCCTTTGATTTATCCACTATGATACTTATTCAATATACCTAAAAAGATGTATAGTTTATGATATGCTCTTTACAAAATAATCAACACCAACGTAAAGAATTTATAGTCCTATTCAAAATGGTTTTTTGTTAAATTGTTTTAAAATCACTTTTCGCAAAGGTTGTTTACGTGTAAGATTTCCCAATGAATAAAAAATAAATAACTAAAATTTGAAATCTAAAAATAGCATTATTCGTTCATAGTACCTATTCAGTAAGATTACTGCTTCTAAAGTAATGTATCATTTTCTTAAATATTAATGAAAATCATTCTAGTGGTTGCTGTGAACCAATATTACATTTTAGAAGTAGTCAACTTATTTAACAGGTATACACAAATTCTATACTGACACCTAACCAATCGTGCAAAGAAGTTTGCATGTTCTTAAATGTTCTAGTATCACCTCTGAAGTCATTGACCCCTTTATTTTATATCCTTTCGTTTCCTCACTAGCTCTGTAATCCTCAGTTCACTATCTATCATTTTCATCTTTCAATCTTATCTTCTTTGTTCCTCCTCTGCCCAAGGACCTCCACCTCGAATCTTCTCCTTCTCCATGGTTCCACTTAATCCTCCTGTCAGAAGGCAATGTTGAGGTGGCCGTCAGTTATGAAGATGGGGTCAGTCTGAGCAGTTTTGTCCCACTCCTGTTTCTGCCTGAGGCAGCTCGTCTGTCTGCTGACGTAGCCATTGTCTTGACGACCACGGCGCAGCATTGCTGAGAAGGTGAGGTACAGCAGCTCCAGTACACTCAGCACGCTTATACCAGTGAATAGTGCCATCAGGCCTCCAACGTGAGCTGGAAAAAGGAAAAATGTATACTTGATATAATTAAGTGTGATGATATCGCAAAAATTACGTATCCTTGTAGAGTAGTTGTTTGAAAACTATTGGGTTCAGCAGAATACAGTTGCGGCGAATAACACAAATTTTGTGTTAAGATAGTGATTAAATAATAATCATTAAGATCATTTGAGGCTACTTCCACAAGATTAGACTAGGAGACTGTAAAACCAAGCACTCTAATGAAAGTTAGATCTTGAAAAAATTTATTGTTATACGAGTACAAGCAAGCTAATAACTTAATATAGTAGACAACATTTCTTAAACTACAGAGTTAGATTACGCACACTTACATAAAAGTTGAGCTTAAGAAAATTGTTTTTATTACTTTCCTAAGAAATTGTCGACCACAAATCGACAAGAACGGCTAAGAAACTCAAGCCTTGGTAATTTCTTGATTTAGTCAGGGAATTGTAAAATAAAGTAGTTGATTGCCCTTACCGAGAAAATCAACAAAGTAATTCATCACTTTGGGCTCGGCCAACGTGACAGCCTCGATTCCTTCTTTGAAATAAACGTTGATCTCGCTTTTGTTTTTCCAATTCCTAAAACATTTTTACATCATAAGAAACAACTGGCTTTAATAATTATTTTGAATTGTATCAAACACTTCTAATTGAGTTATGTTTAATTAAGTTGTTCAATATCTTCTGTGTTTAAAACATAAAATCTTACGTTTTACGTTTCCAAATTGTTATTTCGATAAATTTTTATAATTTATTGTTATAATTATTTCGTGGCTGCACAAAAGCCATATACAATATTTAATATTTGTCATATGTATAGGACAAAGGAAACTGGTGAGTAGATAATGACAAATCTCCTATTGACGCTTTCTAGTTGCATGCACGCACCAATCAACATTACTTCTACAGTATATTATGATAATAACTCTTCTATATTATGTTGGATTGTATGATTGTTGGATGGTTAGATTGTAAATTATTTATTTTGATGGTAATGCACGCAGATTTTGGAATACAACATTTTTATACTTTTATACCATGAGATTTTTGTATTGACTTACACACCTTACACTCAATATACTTGAGAAGTGAGCTGATCTAGTGGTAAAGCGCGGGAAAATGTAAATCATAATGCCAACACCCCTAGGTCTAGCCTGAAGTAACGTGAAAACGATCCAGGGCTATAGTCCGTGAGGTAGGCGAAGGACTCTGAGGGATTAACGTCCCTTCCACCAACGCACGCGCACTCACCAGCAGGGCCCTACCTACCCCACGGCGAGTGACCCATGTGTGTGTGTAGGTGTGTCTCTGTGTGTGTGAGGGCTGTAATTCCTTTAGAGTCCTTCGCCGGCCTCACGAACTATAGACATAGGAAAACATAGACATGCATCTACCTTTCTTGGGATCCCCGGGGTACGACCTGAGTGTCTAGATGGTACTGTACAGTCCTACAGGCTGGAGGGCAGTCACAGGTACAGTCTGGTCTCAAACTATCCACTAACTTGTCTGTTAGTTCCTCCTGTCCAGGGTTGTCATACAGATGAGATGTAATCGTCTCTTTCAGGTCCTTTCGAATCCACATCCGAAAGTGCTTGGTTATTGACTTCCAAGTGATTTCCCCTCGTAGTAACTCTGTTGAAACCATGCAACAGATATGAGTATTTCAAAGTAAAGCACCTTTAATTTATTTTATAACTTTTTATAATGTTGGATTAGGTCTATAAGTTTTGAAATTCGTCTCTCAAAAGTCAAAGTTACGCGTAAGATTTATTTTTAGTACTCTTCTTGAAACTATTTTGAACTACGTCGTGTATCCTACTATTTTTATCTTTAAACATATTAACTTAATAGCCAACAACTCTTGTTCAAGGGTACACATCTTAGCTCTACTGTTTAACTACGATTGCTCTGCCATAACTTTTAAACAAGTCCTAACCACCTCTTTAGGTTCTGAACTGTAAACTGGCAAATGAAAGTTTAGTTCCCAGCAGCCACATTCGTTCAAGTTGTGACTACGAAACCCCGCTTGAGTGAACAGTGCTAACTCAAACTACAACTTCTAAATCCAATATTCACTGTCGGAACGGACTGTGTTGCATAAGTTAAACGGATCGGTTGGGTGTGACGTTTAGTAATAAGTAAAGTTATTGACTTCTCTTTGACCTTACATGGTAGTATGGTTTTAGTTGGCTGTTTTATTACGTGTATGGTACTAAATGGTAGTATTTAATAGAGTAAAACACTTTAACACAAACAGTGCTATATATAAAGGGTGTAAAAATATTGCACCCTTTAATTAGTGCTAAAACCAAAAGAATCAACATTATCAGAACTCTTAAAACGAAGAAGTTCTAAGTAAAGTTGTACGGGGTGGCCCAAAAAAACAGGTACAATTTTAAAATGTTATTATTTAGCTGTTATAAAGGCTGGAGAGTTAATTGATAAGGCAAATGAATGTTTATTTGATACCATTTAGTGTATAGTTACTATGGATCATCAATGGTTACCGCAACATCGTGCCTTTGTCCTAGAGACTTTTTTTAAGAATAATTTGTCTATCATTTCTTCTCATCGTCAATTTCGTGTTCACTTCAACGTTGGCCGTAATGGTGCAAACCTAAACCGAAAAACTATTCAAAGTTGGGTAAGTAATTTCCAGAACACGTCTTCTGCACTCAAAATCAAACCTAGTGGGACACCTCGGACTGTTCGAACGCCTCAAAACATTGAAATGGTTCGCGCGAGTGTGCTGCGTGTCCTAACCGTCGAGCATCCTAAGTCATCCGTTTGCAGAAAATTGCATTCTAATTTTAATTTTTATAGGTTTAATTTTGAGTACAGAAGCCATGTTCTGGAAATTACTTACCCAACTTTGAATAGTTTTTCGGTTTAGGAGAGAGAGAGAGAGAGAGAGAGAGAAAATTCTGTATTTATTACACACTGTTTTGCAGCAATAAATACAAAAAATAAAAATATCACATGGGTCACAATGACCTGTGCGTGATAGAGATTAGGGTTTAGGGATAAGAGATTAGGGTTGCACCATTACGGTCAACGTAGAAGTGAACACAAAACTCACGTTAAATATAAATGATACACATTATTCTAAAAAAAGTCTCTATGACAAAGCACGATGTTACGGCAACAATTAAGTAACGATACACCAAATAATAATCAAATCACCAAATAATAATAAAATAATAATAATCAAATAACCATTCATTTGCCGCAACAACGAACTCTCCGCTGTTATAACAGCTGATTAATAACATTTTAAAATTGTCCCTGTTATTTTGGTTCACCCTGTATTTAATAGTTTGATTAAATCCTATTTACATTGAAATGGAGGCCATCAACATATGTTTTATGATTTTACTTTGTGCTTTAGGAGTCTTATTAAATCAAAACATAAGTGACTTTTTAATTTGCACTAAGGAAATTCAGGCATATTTATGGTATTTAGTTTAAACTGAATGTTTTATACCCTAGACGTGGCTTAAGTATATATTTTCTTACTACAAAGAATGTGTTTTACCTGGTACCAGCGAGTCGGTGCAGTGTCTCATTTGCACTCCACACCATTTTGTCGTATTTCCCGCTCCTAGAACAATATACTTGATTGCAAGAGAGTTACTGTATGAAAATCATAATTCCTAATGCTGTTATCATTTTTATAATTTACCTTTTTCACTAATGCGTTAGTTAAATTTGGTGACCGCTTTTTAATTCCTAATTCATAACAACTAGTTAGGTAAGCCAGAGTTAAAGCATTCCCCAATAACATATTTTTTACATATTTTGATGATGTAATGATTCTGCATGGATGTGTAGTTGGGAAATTGCTCTTGGCCTATTTTTCATATCGTGTTAACCTGGTTATCCAGATTATTCAATGTCATACAAATTTAAAAGAGTACGCTCTGTTATAGCTTATAAAATACAATCAATTGTTTGGTTTTTATAGTGTTGTGTTTTACTATGCAAGAGGTCCAATTAATCTACGGAACCTTAATTATTAACGGTGCCAATTTTGGTGGGAAGAAAAAAATTAGAATTCGGAAAAAATCATTTTGATTCAGATCCATTTTAGGATTGAATTATCAGTCTTTTGGTGTGGATCAAATCAAATCAAATCAAATCATCTTTATTCATTTTTTGTATTTACATGAATACATTGAATAGAATCAAATCTTACAACTAATAATGTCCTTAATTAAAAGATGATGGTTACAAATAAAACTGTTTTATGTTGTTGACAATGACACTAATACAATTTTATATATTTTACATTCCTTGAATTAAAAAAATCTTTACTTGAAAAGATAGGATGAGTCAATAGGTATTCTTTAAGGCGGGTTTTGAAACTGTTATATTTTTATTCACAAAGAATATTCTTAGGCAGATTATAAAGGCATTTAAAACCAATAAAAGTTGTTTCATTTTCAAAAATCTGTAATTTATGTGGTTCTACATATCTTTTATTTCTCAAGTTGTATAATACCATAGTTGGCATAGTTGGTGTTTTGTTGTTGTTGGATATGTGTAAGTTACTACGTACACTTTACAGTCATTTGCTTTGTAAATTAATTAGTATTAATGCTTGCATTCATAACAAATAAGTATCAATTAAAGTAACCATTGAATTTGTATGCTGAAGTAGACATCCCTTCTACAGTATATGGACTAACTGTAGTTAGATTTATTATTATTATTATTAAAAACACACAATATTTGAATGACCTACACACTACTCACTACAGTCGAAAATTATATATTCCCTTTTATTTTTTTGTTACTCAGATAGCTTATGTGACATAAAATGTACCACAGTTTACAATAAATCTAACCATCAGTTTGACATGGTTAAAATATATGCATATTCAATGTATGTAAATCAATCATTTAGATGACATCAGTCTATCGGTGGATAAATTCATCTATATCTATTGTGATTTTTGGACTGGCGACAACTTTAACATAGGGATGAAATGTTAGTTCTACCAATAGTAAAAGATTTGACCTTTTCATTTACTTTATGGAAGATTAAATATTTGTTAATTTTATTTTCTAAAACTTACTCGGCAGGTATAGAGGCACACAGCCACACATGTTGGTAGAACACCTAACTCTACACTCTAGGCGACACTTTGCTTGACTGTAGTGTCTGAACAACTTGGAGTCTCCTTGTAAGGGGACGAGGCACTCTAGAGGGGACGACTCTATGACGGGAGTCACGGCGATGTGTAGGGAGTGGACGACAGGGAGGTGCAGATATCGGTGGCTGGATCGAATAGGAATATCTGCTGGGTGATGGACCGCCACCTGTAAACATTGAAATATCTTTAAAAGTTTTGTCTTTAGGTTAGGAAGTAGAAGTGGCCTGTTTCCTCAGTCCACCAAAAGTCAGAATAAAAATATACAAAAAAAACAGCTATGCTACGTTTTTTTGTACAGGCTTAAACATTATTATTGATCAGTCTTGGTAAGACCAATGATTGCCCTCTATTGATAGACGAGGATAACTTAGTTCAACTGTTTTACATAGGAACCGTTCACATAGGAACAATAGGATGTTCTAATAGTTTATTATATGTACCTCATAAAGCCCCTAACACGTTTTAAGTTTGAGATGGATCCTCATATTTCAAAAGTATTTTAACATGTATGCTTTAATAACTCCATCAGTACATAAGGTCTTAAATAGTACGATTTCACTAAAATACTCGCCCACCTAACATTGCACACTGTACATAAGCAATCATTTTTCATCCTTAAAAGTCACTCGTGCAAACTATAACCAAACTAGAAAATATGCCTTATCTTCGTCTACCTGCTCTAAAGCTGTAAGTGTAAAATGGTAAAATGGCCGTTTCAGTATTACTAACACACGCAGATATCGCCTGATCAGTGTTCTTGGAGTTTAAGTAAAATACGCACTAATATATACACATAATATATTGTTGAGCTGATTGGCAATAAACTCTTTTTGAATATTCAAATTTCATTGCAGCCCAATAAAAAAAAACGGATTTTATTCAAACTGAAAAATCTGATTTTACCTGAAAAGTCTTGAAAGGATCGACACAAGACGATTGATTGAAGATTTTCCTATCAAGGTTGATGATCAGTTTGAAATCCTCGCCAGCCCAGTCTCTATGTATAGGGATGGAGTGATCCGTGTAATCCGGACGGACCAAACTGTCCGGGGTCCATCCGGGGCGAACCATCAGTCCCGTGGCGTCCATCATCACAGGCTCTGGCGACCTGGGGAATTACAAACTTACTTTCTGAATAACTAAGTACAAACAGTAGCATGCGAGTAGAGGAAACACAAATAAAAAGGTATAAATTTGAAAGTCATGCAGACATTCCAAAGAAACACTTTGGGAGGAGAAGATACTTGAAAATGTGAACTGCCTGAATAAAGGAAACAAATACCTAACAGAGTTTTTTGTAAGAGGTTAGCGGCCTCTTTTAACCCTCTATTTGCCCGTCCACATAGATTATGTGCCCGTGCATGGAACCACAGAGAATAGACCAAACGTATCCAGCAAAGCAAGGGGTGATCCGGTATATTACGAAGGTGAACTGATCAAATGTTTACGGCAGTGACCAGGATCGGAATCCACGACATCACTGTCTGGATGCGAAGTCGGTACGCTACCGACTGAGCCACCCATTCACCAATATTAATTAAGTAATAGTTGATAGTAAACAGTAGTTAATAGTAGAGTTTAATTAATTAATGAAGTATGGAGTTATAGAAAAGAACGATGAGTACAAAGGTGACCTTGAATTGATACGGGGGAAAGTTAACGTTCAAGATTAAAAAAGAGAGATAAAGTAGCAATGTATTCTACGAAACCATATTTTAAATCAGAAAATGGAGATCGTTTTAAAGTCGTTTTAAAGATCGTTAAAAGTATTCCTTAGAAGGAAATAACTATACATGTCTAAAATGTTTGTTTGGTTTAAGACATCTTATTTGCTTATTCATTAATATGTAAATTATTCTGAAGGATAAAGAAACAGAGTTTAATGGAAAAACATGAAAAGGTTTTTGAAGGACAAAATTAATTTTAGGTTATATTGATCCAATATAAATAAAACGTAAACTACTTTATAACCCACCATTTGTGTTAGTTTTCTACTTACACTTTGTCTTTAAAGACATACGAAGCTGGAAGCATGTTGTACGTATAACAAACGCGATCGTCGATGTACAGAGTCTGGAAGGACTTTGTGCAGTTAGTGTCGGTTCCCTTTTCAGCCCAATGGTAAGAGGGAATGTCCTCGCTACAAGATGGCATCAACTAAACAGATGGACGGTCATTTAGTTCATCATCAATGACAATTTAAATACAGTTTGTATTAAACTTAACAATAGTTTTCATATATGAAATATTTCTACACTAAAATTATAAACAGCATTAGTTATAAAATGGCCAAAGGGAACCTACTTAAATACTGTAGTAGTAATAAGTTAGATTGTATGTTGATACAACTAGTTTTCTATATGTGTATGAATGTGTGTGAATGCAGTTGGATAATCCTCCAACCATTTCCTTTATCAAATAATTTTAACTGTTATATGTAAAAGATTTATTTAAGTTGAATGTGATAGGATAACAATTGAAAGGACAACGAAGTGTTGCCTAAAACGTGTTGTAGTTTGATGTTTAACAAAGTCCAATAATCAACAAATCACTTAGGCCGGTTATTGTATGTTGTAAATTACTTTCAACAACGTGAAACAATAATTTATTTTTCTATGGTTAGATATCATCTACGTAAAAAGTCAAACCTTTAAATGTTTAATAGCACTAGCAATATAAAGTACAATTTATTAAGTGAGCTGATGATTTTGATACTGTATACGAGTAGCCAGCTCAGAATGTAGTTACACATTTAGTAACAAAGGTTGCGTCTAATGGTTCTGTAATGTTTTTATCAAAAGGTTTGTACAAAGGAATATCTCCTTTACCTCATCAATGCTATCAGAATAATTGAGAATCAAATAACACTGTTTTTGCATAAATATTATTCGTAATAGTGAAAATATTAAAAACCTTCTTCTAGGAATATTCTTTTTCCATGGTAGACGGTCAACTTTAGTACATCAAATACATTTAATTTTAGTTTATATCACATGAAGTTTCACTGTTGTATCGTTGGCGGTACTGAAATACACCTATTTATGTGAATTGTAGAATATTTACACTCCCGTAGTTAAGAGATGCCGTAGTAAGTAATACGGTGACCCTTGAGATTGGGTTATATAAAATTTGGTGTACAAAAATATGAAAAATTACATTTGCAAACTGTGTTTGGCTCTGTGACCAAAGTCTATACTAGAACTACTCGGATCTCAAGTAAAACATGAAATTTATTCTTCTTTATTTTGTCCCTATAAAACAATATACATAATGCATTATGTACACTTAAATATATGTATGTATGTATGTAAAACATTTACTTTGACATGTACTCGTAGTTATCCTACTAATATTATAAATGAGAAAGTTTGGATGTATGGATGTATGGATGTATGTTTGTGACAAGTGAACGCGAAAAATTCTGGTCGGTTTGGGCTGAAATTTGGCATGATGATAGTTCACATTCCCGATTAACATATAGGCATATTCTTATTTCAAAAATCCTTTCGGGCTCCGCCCCAGTGGCTCTGGAGTTTCCCATGTTAACCTTATGAGAAATGGAATTATTGAATCTTAACAGCTGTTTCAATTAAAGAAGTTGGTTCTGTTCTATGATGTTCAATAGCATTAAAGTTACAAGGATTACCAACAGGGTGTAGCACTATTATTTCTTTTACATTTATGACAACAGCTAATTTGCAACCAAAAGGTGAGTGAGCGTAGCGAACGAACTTCAACTTGGAGGCGAGTTAGCGTAGCGAACGAGCTAACCTGAAGGCAAGTGAGCGCAGCGAACGAGCTCCAACCTAAAGGTGAGTGAGCGTAAAGAACAAACTTCAACCAGGACGTGATTGAGCCATGCGAACGAGATAATCTTTAAAATTAAGAAGTTAAACGGGGCAAAGCCCGCGGGTTACAGCTAGTAATTACTAAAACAGGTCTGCAAATCAACTAGAGTTTGTTTTTGGAGCTTTATTGTTTAGCTTATAAGGGACGATGTTTTTCACACTAAGAGAGCTTTGGTTTTCTATGTCTCCAAATCCCAAACACAAACCTCTAACATGAACTCAGGAGAGGTAGAGTTGTAGTAGGAGCTCCAATACTTGAGAGATGTAGTCTCTAGAAGAGAAGGACACAAGAAAGAGGCTGCAGAAATCTGTTCAAACCTGTGAAAAAGTAAAAATGTAGTTGTCATTAAGGATTTCAACTAGGCTAATATTAAGAAAGTTCATTGATGAGTTTCCATTAAGAAAAGCTGTTTAAATGTTTAATAATACTTCAAGGAACTGTTACACCTGTTTAAAATGATAATGACTTAACTTAGTGCACCAGAATACGCGATTTATATAAAATCCCTCAAAAAAAATGTGCCAAGATATGAGTCTCTATAAGTGTTTTAGAAAAGCTATTTAGACGGCCAGCAGCTTTTACAGGTAATTTTACAAAGATACTTTTAGAATCTCGTATGACAGTATCAGACTATTTAGCCTAAAAGGAACACGAAATGTATTAACACCATGTCTGTAAGTGACTCTTTGATATAGTAGCTTACACAACGATACGACAGTTTTTAAATTACTAACAATCACTACTCATGATTTCTAAGAGAGGTTATATTTTCGTTTATAACCTCTCATTACCACTGACAGTGATGCAACAAATCATTAATTATTAACAATTAAATTGGTCTAAACAGCTGATAAGTTGAAGTTCAAAGCATTGCAATTTTACTTATTCTCTCTCAATCCTTGACCCTCATTGGTCCATTAACCGTGTTGTTAAGTAAAACAACAATTCTGTTATAGTAGTTTACGCAACGATTGCGTTAAGTGAGTCTTTACGACACGAGTAGAAAATTTAAGGCACGAGCCTTGGCGAGTTCCTTAAAAACTTCTACGAGTGTCGTAAAGACTATTAACGCGAGTTGCGTACACTACTTTACCTACGACCGTTTTTTAATTACTATCAATCAAACCATCTGGATTTAATAACTTACAATAACTATTGATAACTTTTTAGAGAGGTTATGTTTTCGTGTATTGTTATTGCCACTGAAAGTGATGCAATGACTTGTTGTATAATCAGCTGATTTCCTGTAATTACGTGTTTGTTAAACTTCGTTAAATATTACATTGCTAGCAGCATTCTTACCATAAATAATATTGTATCAGGTACAATTCGGCAAATATTTAATTTATTTTTTGACTTCCACCAACTTAATTAAGAATGCAAGTATCAACATGAACAAGTCGGATAAACAATTAAATTGGTCAACTGATCAGCTGATCAGCTGATTAGTTGACGTTCGAAGCATTACAATTTTAATTCTTTTCTCTCAATACTTGAACCTCATTGGTCCGTTACCTGTGTGGATATGAGAAAACTATGCGGATATGAAATGAAACTATGCGGATATGAAAGTAAACAGCTGTAAAGTGAAACTTTTCAATTCTAAGAACTGGACTGAAATGGCTACTTTAAAAAACGGTCGTAGGTAAAGTAAGTTAACAATGCTGTTATGTGAATCTTTTCAATTCCAAGAACTGAACTGAAACGGCTGCTTTAAAAACTGTTCAGTTCAGCTCTTAAAATTGAAATTTTTCTCATAACAGCATTGTTTACTTTCATAACAGCATAGTTTTACTCATAACAACACGGGCAACGGACCAAGGAGGTTCAAGTATTGAGAGATAATAAGTAACATTTTCATGATTCAAATTTCAACTAATCAGCTGTTTAAACCAATTTAATTGTTGAGTGGTGTAAATACTGTTTGGTACAATGTTTCTATGCATATTTGTCATTGGCAATGAGAAGTTATAAACGAAAACATGACCTCTCTTAAAAGTTATGAGTAGCGATTTTTAGTAATTAAAACACGGTAAAGTAGTGTACGCAACTCGCGTAAATAGTGTTAACGACACTCGTAGAAAATAAAAGGTACGAGCCTTGCAAGGAAAATAGCTGAGTGATATGATATAACCTATGCGTAGTTTTTATAATACAGGAAAAAAGGAATCTAAACGAGTTTAACATTATAATGCTGCTCTCCATTAACGAGCAAAATCGTTCTCATTCACTTTACTTTTAATCACTGCTTTTAGATATTAGGCGTAAGGCTAATAATGACAAGGCCAAATACATTTATTACAAACAAGGTTAGTCAACATAAAATGTCCCAAAGGTTTCAAATTATCTAAGAATCAGTTCAAAATCTGTTTCTGCATTTAAAATATAAGTGCAGCAACTCAGCACTGAGACTTGGACTTGAGACCTGGCCTATTAAGGTAAGAGAGAAGTTAAACTTCCTTATCTCATTAACCCACTTGGTTGATGCTGTGAAAGGTGCAAATGTACCCTTTGAACTTTCGACTTAATTCCTTTTCTTGCATTTTCAATACCGACGGATATGGAAAGAGTGAGTGATAATTGATTTTGGTATCACACAACAAAGCTAATGCAACTCAATTTAGGATTAGTAAATATATTTTAGATTTAGTTTTCTAGTTTCTAGTTAGATTTTAGAGTTCACTGTTCTTGCAAGTAGAGATAGATAAATACGATATAAATTTTTCCCCACGAGTACAATTCTCGACTTTATTTAAAGTTCTGGATAAATCTCGCACTGGCAAAACAAACATATGATCTCAAACATGTAATGACTCACTTTCTACTCTTGTTAAGAAATATACTATTTACACTACATACTTGAACAAATTGACTGCAGCTTATGGGTTGCTTATTAAATCGCTGTTGTAGACTTTCTTGTGCCTATCAAACTAGCATTCATAGACATGAGGTAAGAGACATGAGGTTTTCCTTCTGGACATAATTCTAACACATTACCTAATACAAATATTGAAACTCAGCATTACTCACTGATCTCTTGAACAAGTGTAGCTGGTGCAAAGTTTCAAAAGTTCGTTCAACTGGAATTTCGCACCAATGTTCCTTTCAGGACAGATTGTTATGGCTGGGAATGGGATCGAACCCAAGGACACCTGATTGGTGGTGTATCCGGAGGAATATCCAGAACTCCAGTGGCAATACGAGATGAATACAGATATCCCGCATACCACCAGAACCACCATGAGTGCTATCACCCAGAAAAGTCTGAAATCACCGACAATGAATGGGTAAGGTATAATATTTTGTTATAATTGCGATACGAATAGGTACACGAATAAAGATTTTATTATTTAGTATCTTAGATGGACAGCTTAGTAAGAATAGTATCTAAATAAGAAAGTTTGACAGATACCTTTTTCATAATGTGTTGTGGTACATTTAAGGTATTTTTACAGCGTTAAAACATAGTTGAAAATTCCAGTACGTTATTGTAGTTAATAATACGTATAGTAATAATATAGTTAATACGAGTATGGGAGTAAATATACGAGTTTAAATATACTCCCTTGGGCAAATTCAGAGTGGCAATAGGTAATAAAATATTAGTGACGAAATTTAGAACAGGAAATGTCATTAGGATCAACAAATTATTTTACATATTTCTTTTCATTAACTTTAAATGTGTTACCAAGCTCAAGCAATCTAATTTAGAACGACAAAGTAGAAAGGAATATTTAAATTTGAACAGTTACTTCTCAACTTCAAACTTGGCAATAACAGACGAAGTTATACTTAGGAACAGTCAAAGACTTAATTATTTGAAAGGAAACAATAATATTTACCTGCTGAATACTTTGAACTCTTTTATTAAATCTGTCTCATCTTCTCTCTCCCCTCAAATAGGAAGTTATTGTCCTAGTTAAGTGATTTAACTATTGAGATATTTTATATTTAAGGTTCTACCTACCGCACAGCTGGGCTCCCTACTTCTGTTAGGTACTTGAAGCCAGGATGGGTTGACCTATTTATTGATCTCTTCAAATCGTAGATCCATTGTGCTTTCGGCTTTTTCTCAGTTTTGATTATATTCCTAGCAATAAAACCAAAGAAAATATTAGCAAAAATAGAAAGAGTTTGGCAGTTTTATGTTCTAATTCTAAATCTAATAGATTTAGAATTAGAATAATGTTATCTTAGAATAATCGATATAGAACTTTGGTAAATCAACATTGTATTGCAATATAATTTCCTTTTCGTTACTTTTAGAGTTACCATGTCAAAATACCACAGATAATTATAATATGACACATGTAACATATGGTAACGTGTCATTGTGATTATTTATTAATTATTTCGTGCAACATATCATGGAACAGTAATGAACCTCGTAGTTTACAAACATAATGTTTTTTTTTAAGTAAAAAAATTGTGTAAAAGTAAAGATTTTTAATACAGAAAAGTTGTCATATTTCTTCTAAAAGTTAGCGTATGTCTGGATGTTGTTAAACACTAGGTTTGTCAAAATACAAAGTTGAGTGATTATATCAGTTCTACTTATGTCTATGACTCATTAGGTAGTATTAAAGCTTACTTAATTTGAATACATTTTAATTTTGTATCATATAATTTCCTACTTTTGAAAGTCATGTTTTTTATAAACATGTAAAATAATTTCGTATTATCATTATTTTACAGCTATATCAAATTATAACTGTTGTATGACTCGTTAGCTGAGTGATAAAGTAATCGGATAACAATCTAAAGATCTCTGGTTTAGTCCTGAGAATTCATGAACCTTTTGATGATTTGAAACTAGACCCAGTGTTTCAACAAATGATCAACTACAGAAACGTCTGGCTTCAGTCAATAGCAAAGCAAAACGAAGTATCTGACTCCATTCTACACTCCTCCTTCGCTTATAATTGGGTTTAATTTTGTTCCCACTTTAGTTGGGATTGTGATTAATTGAGAATATGAATATTTGTCTAAAATATATCCAAGTCAACTTGACGATTCCTCTTATAGGTTTATAATCATGGTGTTTTACCCTTGGTCGTGTAGATAGCAAGGTTCTCCTCGGCTCTGTAACTCAAAGTCCATAACGTTGGCAAACAGTTCCTGGACATGCTTCTGCACAACCTGCTGTCCTTCTTCCAACCGCAGTAGTCTGAAAATATGATTGAGGAACTTTCTAGAATGTATTACATTTCATAGTAATTCTGTTTGAAGTAGGCCTAGATTGGAGATCAATTGAAGTGGATATAAACTTCATGTGTTTGATAAAAATTTCATGTGGATCAAGTTCATGTGATGCCTTAGATTACTGTGAAAGCACTCGTGTCATAATTATGTGTTCACTTGTTTAAGGTGACAATGTTAAATGTAAGTATTTTTGTAAGATTAATATGTAACTCTTTGTTAGGACTCTTTGTTATATTACAATACATCACTAATACTTTTTCATAAGAAGGTAGATAGACTCAAATACCATTTTTCAAGAATTATTCACCCTGCTCAGCATGGCTTCGTACCTGGGAAATCAACAGTATCCAACTTGCTACTGTTTCAAGAATCTGTACTCTCTGCCTTCCTCAACAACAACCAGGTTGATACGATCTACATAGACATGGCCAAAGCATTTGACAAAGTTGATCATAACATCTTGGTGTCCAAATTAAGAGGGTATGGAGTTACGGATCCCCTGCTTTCCTGGATTACTGACTACTTGTCCAATCGCTCTCTGGTTGTCAAAATTGGGTCTGTAAAATCTGGAGAGTTTACTCAATCTTCTGGCGTCCCTCAGGGCTCCATATTTAACAGGGCCCATGGCTATTTAACATTTTCATCAATGATCTGGTAGACGCTGTGGAAACCAATGCTCTATTGTTTGCCGACGATCTTAAAGTACTGAAATACACCTATTTATTTGAATTGTAGAATATTTACACTCCCGTAGTTAAGAGATGCCGTAGTAAGTAATATGTTGACCCTTGAGATTGGGTTGTATAAAATTTGGTGTACAAAAAAATGAAAATTTACATTTACAAACTGTGTTTGGCTCTGTCAACAAAGTCTATACTAGAACTACTCGGATCTCAACAAAAATATGACATTTATTCTTCTTTATTTCGTCCCTAAAAACAATATACACAAAGCATTATGTACACTGACTGTAAAACAATTACTTTGACATGTACTCGTAATTATAATTACTAAAACATTATAAAAGAGTTGAAGGTCTGCAAATCTACTAGGTTTTTGGTTTACCATCTAGGTTTTGTTTTAGGAGGTAATATTGTTTAGCTTATAAGGGACGATGTTTTTCACACTAAGATAGCTTAGGTTTTCTATGTGTCAAAATCCCAAACACAATCGCTCTCTGGTTGTCAAAATTGGGTCTGTAAAATCTGGAGAGTTTACTCAATCTTCTGGCGTCCCTCAGGGCTCCATATTAGGCCCATGGCTATTTAACATTTTCATCAATGATCTGGTAGACGCTGTGGAAACCAATGCTCTATTGTTTGCCGACGATCTTAAAGTATTCGCCGAGATTTCCTCAGTAGAAGACTGCCGCATGATGCAAAAAAGCCTAAACGGAATCAGTCGATGGTGCATCAGTAACAACATGCAGATTAACCCTGAAAAGTGTTCAAGTATGTCCTTTCATCGCAGCAAGAACCCCCTCTTGACATCTTACTCAATCTCAGATGTTGATATCCAAAGAGTTACTGTTATAAAGGATCTGGGTGTTTTCTTCCGTCACGACATGGGCTTCTCAGACCACGTTGATGGGATTTGTAAACAGGGCAACAAAATGTTGGGCTTCATCTCAAGATCTACCCGTGGGATTAACAACCCTGATGCTCTAAGAACGCTGTACTGCGCTATGGTGAGACAGATTGTGGAGTACGCCAGCCCCGTGTGGTCACCCTATGCTATTGGTGAAAAAGACAGACTGGAAGCATTGCAGAGACGTTTCATCCGCTTAGTGGGAGTTCGCAATGGCTTTAACTACGCGGACGTCCCTGTCGTTTCTCTCTCTTCTGAACTGCAGCTTGTATCTCTTGCGGTGCGCCAAGACTTGGCCGACCTCATGCTCCTACTGAAAATAATCAGAGGTCTTCTATTTTGTCCGGATCTTCTGTCAAAAATTGACTTCAAAGTACCGTCTGGCACTAGGACTAGGGAACTCTTCGTCCGAAGACACTACAACACGTCTTTCGACTTCCACAGCCCACTAGCTCGTCTTGCCAGGCTTGGAAACCGTGTTGCTCCGGACTGTGATCTGTTCTGTGACACAATTTCTCATCTCAGAAGATGTGCTACGGAAATCTTCACTCCTTGAACCTGTACGAGCGTAAACTAGGCCTACTTCCAGACACAGATTTTCACCAGCATTTGTTCATCTTGTGATGTAGGCCCCTATGTAAAATTTGTAAAACTGATTATTATGTTTGTTCCTGAATTTTTGTCAATGTAAAATTATTTATTGTAAAACAATTATTGTAACGAATTTGTCAATTTGTATTTATTGTAAAATAACTTAAACTCTTCTTGATCTCACTCATGCACTACTTGTTGCCATCCAACTTTCTATTTAAAAATTGTAAATATTTGGATTGTTAATATTTTTGTTACTATTGATATTGTTACTACTATTGTTATTGCTCACTATTTGTACAACTTTTACTATTTTGTTTCCTGTAATTTCGAGTTGTGAATGTTTTTCATTGTAAAGTGGCTATGCCGTTGAGAAATAAAATAAAATAAATAAAATAAGGTAGACAAGCTTTGAACCAACAACAATGAAATTACATTTTTCCTCATTTCCAGTGCAAATAGCATTTGAGTAAGGAAATTAAAAAAAAAAGTTGAAACCTGTTGGAAATCATTTATTAAGGTCTCCTGAACCCACAGAAGAAAGTCCCAGAAAATCCCATGGGGACTTTGCCGCCATTTTGAAAAATAAGTCGGCCATGTTGGATTTATGCAATCGTTTACGGAAATGGGTGTTACTAGTAAACTAATTGACTTAAAAACCTCCTGTTTGCATAAAAATGTCTTTGTAAACTCCTGGCTAGATATTAAATATAAAAATACTCCCGCCGCAACAAACCTGCAGACTAAGCGAATTTCCATTTGCCTGAATTTATTTTAAATTAAATCTATTTAAATAACATTAGGTTTAACGAGTACCTAAGTTTGCTGTTATAGGTAGCCTAATAAAATCTATTTTTTTAGTAACATATTAGTAGATTAATATAAAATAGATAAATTGTCCATGTTTAATCAATATATTTCCATAAACAAGCAAACTACAACATTTTACAATATTCTCCATAAGAATAACATAGGAAATTTTAAATTAGCAGTTTTTTACATTTTCTCCATAACCATTAACCATACAAAAACACGTTGATATACTAAATTATTTGTTTTTTAATCTCTTTAAAAAGGTCTAGAGAGAAATTGGGAAATTTTTAGTTTTGAGGGTCAAAAATGAGAAAAATGAGGATGAATTAGTAATACCAACATTTCAAAAAGAGTTCCCTGCTAACCCCACCAAAAAATCAAGATTTATTGCACTATCAATTGTACACCTGACAAACGTGGGATGCCAGGTTCCACAAGCTACATCTAACGCAGACACTCTCATTGTTTCAACAGCTCTGCATATTTCCCCAACAAAAACTTTGGTACTAGTGGGACAAGAAAGAGACCTTCTTGTATTGTTGAATACTCTCACTCGATGCAACGTATTCATGCTCATTCCTGCCAAAGGAAATAAACCTCACCGCATTTTTAATATTAGGAAACTGCAAGAAGGTTTAGACGAGTTAAAATATTTGCTTTTCCTGCTACACGCATTCACGCAGGTTGCGATACAACCTATGCCATATTCAGCAAAGGAAAAAAAACACGTAGAAGAAGCTACAAAACGATGCAGGACTTCGGGAATCCGTCAGTATAGCCAAAACATATGGTGTTAGTAGAGAAGTAACTGACCTTAACATTGCAAGGCACCGCATGTACATAAGAACGATAGCAAAGCAGAGACTTAGTGCAAATTTAAACCTCGCCTCTATTCCCCCAACCAAAGCAGCAGCCCCTCAATACACCCTGAGGGCTTATCATCAAATTTAGCAGTGGAAAGGTGTCGATCTCCCAGCTACGGACTGGGGCTGGAAGCTAAGTGCTAGTCAGGATCTAATACCTGTAACAACTCTTCAACAACCTGCTCAACAAAATCTACTTAATCTTATATTCTGCAACTGCAAAGGCAATTGCGAGAAGTATTGTTTGTGCCGAAGAAGCTCGTTATCTTATTCTCATATGTGCGGACACTGTGCAGGATTTGGGTGCGGTAATACACTACCAGTTACTGAAGATAAACTTGACGACCTGTTACTCTAGTGGTAATATTAACTAGTGAATGATCCAGTCTACTATATCCACAACGTTCAAACAAAACTTTGGAGCTTTAAGGAAAATGTGACGAAAACGGCAGGCCGTCAAGCGTCTGAGCGAAAATGTATTGAACGCTTCTATTGGTTCTTGAGTAGGATGGTTAAAATATTTAGGTAAACCCTTTTAGTGTATTTGAAAGAAGATTTTATTCTCTACAATTTGTATTAAACGTTTTCCTTATAACAGCAAACCAAAAGGATACTTGGTGAAAAATGCTAATTATTAGTTGCAATATGTCAAAATAAATAAGTTTACGAAGGGGTTTTATGGGATGGAAATTTGTTAAAATTTTTGACCGTCAAAACACAAAATTTCTTAATTTCTCTCTATGACATTTAAATAGCGTACAAAAAACCAACAATTCAATATCCCAAAATGTGTTTGTGTGATTAATGGTTATGGAGAAAATTAAAAAAAGCTGCAAATTTAAAATTTCTTATGTTATTCTTATGGAGAATATTGTAAAATGTTGTAGTTCGCTTGTTTATGGAAATATATTGATTAAACATGGAAAATTTAACTATTTTATATTAATCTACTAATATTTTACTAAAAACACATTTTATTAGGCTACCTGTAACAGAAAACTTAGGTACTCGTTAAACCTAATGTTATTTAAATATATTTAATTTAAAATAAATTCAGGCAAATGGAAATTCGCTTAGTCTGCAGGTTTGCTGTGGCGGGGGTATATTTATATTTAATATCTAGCCTGGAGTTTACAAGATATTTACATGCAAACAGGAGGTTTTTAAGTCAATTAGTTTACTAGTAACACCCATTTCCGTAAACGCTTGCATAAATCCAACATGGCCGACTTATTTTTCAAAATGGCGGAAAAGTCCCCATGGGATTTTCTGGGACTTTCTTCTGTGGGTTCAGGAGACCTTAATAAATGAATTCCAACAGGTTTCAACTTTTTTTTAATTTCCCAAATTTTGCCATTTTGGAGCTAATTGCACTGGACTTAAAATCGGAACCAAACGTACACCACATCTTAAAGAAATGAAATTATGTTTGACAGTCGTACAAAAATCATAAGATGGTATTTTTAATTCATCATTCATTTTCATAATCTTTAATGTACCTGTTTTATAAAATAACGTATTCATTGCTGGAATAATATAAGGATTTTCAAGTACTATTCAACAAGTTCCACTCCAAAATAATACAACGTACCTGTTCTGT